CCTTCTCTTTGCTTTAGCCTTTCTTCTTTCACTATCTCTCTCTTTCTCCCTCCCTCTTATCTCTCTCTCTCATCCTCCTCCCTTCCCTCCTTCCTCCTCCTCCCTCCTTCCCTCCTCCTCCTTCCCTCCATCCTCCTTCCCTCCTTCTCTCCCTCCCTCCCATCCTCCTTCTCCCCCCCACGCCTTCCCAACACCCCTAAAGCGAGGCAATTCTGCCTTGAAATCTACGTAGTCTTTGGCTCCGTGTCGCGTCCCGTTTCCATGGTAACGGAATCGCTATGCTTCGTCTTCGATTGGGCGAATAAGGAGGTCTCGATTGGGCGAATAAGACCGAGCGATTTACCTGGGAATCTGTCGGTTTAGTAAGACCATCATATATTTTTTTTTTTTTTGTCATTTATGAAATGCTTATGAGCTTATGAAAATGTCACTGATTGCGATATAAATTTTGAATCTGACGTATGAAGGAAATTAAGTGACAGAAAAAAAAAATCTTGACGTGTGTGTGTCCTATCTGCCGTCATACATTTGAAGCATTCTTGTCTTTCATTAAGCAAGTATGTCATTCATTGTTTTGCTATGTCATTCAGTGTTTAGCTACATCCTGTATGATTGTTTCTGATTGTTTTATTCACCAATTCCTGAATATATATTTTGAGGCTGTGCTAAATAAGAAAAAAAATGTGTCAGATTGTCTATGACGTCATAATGTAGAAAATCCGAGGTCGAAACCAAGGTCTATATAAGTACTAATATAGACCTTGGTTGAAACGAGGCTGCCAAGCTGAGGTCATGTGATGTGTGTTGTTGTGTGTGTGTGTGTTGTGTGTGTTTGTGTGTGTGTGTGTGTGTGTGTGTTGTGTGTGTATGTGTGTATGATGTGCGTGTGATGTGTGTGTGTCCGTGTATGTGTGGTCTGTCTGTGTTATGTATGTGTGTGTCTGCTGTGTGTGTGTTGTGGGTGTGCGTGTGCGGTGTGTGTAATAAGATAGGTAAGTGGGAGAAGGTACGCCCATAACGACCGCCCTTTCTCGCCACTGCTGCTAAAATTCCTGAAGACTTAAAACTCCTTTAAGGACCACACCACGAGAAAACGATTACACGCTTATGGGATACATCAAAGAATGCCATCAAAGAAAGGAACAAACGACATGGAGAAGGTAATATGTGGAGAATGATTAGATACCGGCGAAGAATATGGAGAGAGAAAAATACACAAAGTTCCATTGATGAGATAAAATGTTTATTATTAACCCTTTCATGTTTTTATGTTTTTTTTTCTCTCAAATTAATTCATTTCAATTTGCGATATTAAGATATTTGTTTATGCATAATAGTGTCCTATACGTCTATTTCATGTCGGGTTCTGTATATTATTCATTTCACTTATGACAGACCTTTATCTATAAACGGCGAGGTTCACGTGATCTGTAACATATGTGGCCGGGGGCGGGGGGGGGGGGATCTTGATGGGCTAAACGAGAGAAATGCATCTTAGGCAAATATATCGAATGGTTAGATAAATAAAATGTTCCTCACACCAGTACGCTGATATTTTGCCCTTCCTAGAAACAATATATGTGGAGGATAACTGCCTTATACATACGTCTAGGGCAGTTACGAAGTGGTTCCATGACGATAACTACCTGGAGGGTCGCTCGATGACCAGGCAAGGCATGGGACTTCAAACCCGATGCAAAATGTTTGGTGAATGTTGTCAATGTTTGGGAAACGACTTATGAAGACTATAACTACCTGGAGGTCGATAGCCAAGCAGTGTATGGGACTCGAACCCGATGAAAAATGTTAGGCTGAATATTGTTAATGTTTGGGAAACTTACGCAACAACCTCCCAGTAGTTAATAGATCATGCCAAGGGGAATGGGGAGTGTCTTAAGGAGGAAGTCGAGACGGCATGAACCTTGGGATTAGACGGTTTGAATGACAATACATTGTTCTTATTCTAATCATGACAAGCGCCAGTATTTGCCTTCCTTTTCTGCAGTTATTAGCAATTTTCTTTAAAAATCAAATTATAGTAAAAAATAAAAGACATCCCCAATTAGTCGATTAATTGAAGCCCCCCCCCCTCCTTAAGAATAAGATATATATATATAATATATATATATATATATATATATATATATATATATATATATATATATTATTGTTATATAATTATATTAATATATATATAATATATTAATATACGATATATATATATATATATATATATATATATATATATATTATAAATATATACATATACATTAGTTATCAAGTACATATAAGGCATTTGGTAAGAAAGTTCAAATGTTAAGAAATATAAAACTAAAGATTCTAATTGTGTTAAACAAATGCATTAATTCACACACAACACACACCACACACACATTGATGGGCAACCGCTGGTATAGCAACTGACCCTTGCCACATGTTGCGTGTATAATTAAATCCTAAATGATTTAAAAATGGACCTAATATCTCAGAGTAATTAGTAGATCACGCCT